CAGCTTTTAGTGAATCTATCAATACCTCGGACTTGTATAGAGGAGCAAGCATCGAATTGTGACATTTCTTCCGCATTGCTGTACTACTCAACACACTACTTTAACATTTCCTTTCCCGTACTTTCCGATTCCAGCCCTGACAACCACTAACTATTTTTTTCTACACACAAACATATATCTGAAACGATACGATTAGAGTTTATAGTTATCTTTCAGTTCCAGGTTTTTCCCATAGTCTGGATACATATAGTAACTAAACGCTTATGATTATGCGAAATTTGGGATTTTTGTAACGTAGAAATTAACAATAACCTACCAAAGCCTCACGCAGTCTGGATGCTGAAGAGGGAGCAAGTCCAAGAGTTTGGTTGGGGTACCTCCTTTTGATCTGTTTGTAGTTAGTCTCATCCGGTTTAATTGAAAGCCCATCAGACATGTTATTAATGCGTTGTCTTTCTTGCTCCTTCGTGGCCTCAAGGCCAGCAGAAGTGATGCTGAGTCCAGATCGGTCTGTACTTGCAAGGGTATTGAGTAGAGTTGTACGAAAATCATTTAAATCAGATTCTTCATGCAAACCCTGCAAAGCGTTGAAGGCTTCAGTATAGGCTTCTAAAGCTTTTGCGTGCCATAGCATCTCGATTTGCACGAAACTAGAAAGAATCGACTGTGGCACATTGATGAAAAATAAATAAATAAATAAACAATAACATTTAAATTATGGAATAAATCTAACAAAATATGACCAAATACTTCTTAGTTGTGCCTTTGTCAAAATAATTGAATGCAATAACATTTTTAAGTGAGACTGGTTTTCATAAAAAATGATAAAGGATCAAATAATGACTGTGAAAAGGATGTAATATGCATTTGGTATAAAAGTGTGGTGACCAGATTTGTAAGTCAATCTCGCAAATTGGCCTGTTTGGCTTGATTCAACAGATATGAATAAAAACTTGGTTTATAAGAATTCCTTAATTAAATATTGTGGCATGACTCTCCATTTCGAAGGGAAAGTTGGATGGAAAGAATTCGCGATGTGGCCTAACCGGAAATCGAGGAAGGATCGCCACGTAGGGAAGACTGTTGATTTG